TCGCTCTCTACTGTGGTGTAACCCCTTAAGTCTGTTTTATGAAACTTAAAATTATTTGGAAAGACAATAGCATTAAATTTTTGCTGCATGTACTTTTGGATGGTTTAAACGTTTTATTAAAAAAATATTTTTGTCTCTGTGTTTAATTTAATACTTGGCAACTTGTATGATCTCATTTTTTTTTTTGACAACTTTTATTTGCTAAAATAATATTTTCGATTCTGGAAAAATGTAATGTACGATACTTTTAAAATACTCGTTAATTTTTTTCTATTTTTATATAAAGAGTTTTTGTTAGAGATCTTACTATTGTGAGAGACCGAGTGAAACCGCGGAGGGTATGTAGGATAGCGTAGCAACGACGTCAGGGATATTGCTAAGGATCCTAGGAAGGTTTCGAGAGGGCGGACAAACGGAACCAGGGGAGCACTTCGGGGAATAACTAACACAGTTATGCCGTATAAGTACTTTATTGTCTTGTAGTGAAACGCGTATGGACGAAAAAACGTGTGCTTCTTTCGGCGACCGTACTCGAACTGAATAACCGCCACTGCACGTTACACACTAGCCAATCGCAGGGCCGATCCGGGGGAATAACTCAAGCGACCAATAGGATTACAGTACATACTAGCTTCACGAGCGCCGTGAGGCGAGACAGCGCCGACCACGGACAACGTGGCACGAGACAAACGAGATAGCGCGACTTCAAACCGATATCTTTACACTGCTTTTTAATAAACTTTTTAATAAACTTGTAAAATGAAACATCTTAGAAAATATTTTTGGTTAAGAAAAGATGTAACGTACGATACTTTTTTATATACTTGGCGTAAATTTTTTCTTTAAAAAAAAGTTTTTGTTAGGAACCTCACTATTTTTTGGTAAACTTTTAACCTTAAATAGCACATGAGTGCGAATTCGCACCGCGAAAATTTTTGAATTGCTGGTATTTGCACAAAGACATTTGTCGCGGCTTATCCTCACTACGTTAAATATGTCCGGTACCTCAGGTGACAGGTACGCACATGTACAGATTCAGATTCGTGCAGGTTAATAAAATATTAACTTCGCAAGTTCATTGTGGTGCATATTTGCCTTAGAAATATATTACTGGAAGGAGAATAAAGTGCTGAACGTGAAGCCAACATCTGTGCGAGAGAGAAAGGTGTAGATTCCCAATTGTCTGTAATGCCTGTTTTGCCTAATTTCTTATTTCTCGAAAATCTTTTAATAAAAAAAGAAAAACGGGGCTAAGTGAGGGCTGAATGGCACATGCGCATTACAAACAATTGGGAATCTATACCTTTCTCTCTCGTACAAATGGCTTCACGTTTAGCACTTTATTCTCCTTCCAATAATATATGTTCTAAGATATTCGCACTTCTAGTCTAAATAGTGTGTGCCATATCGGTGCCTACTTTTAGCGTTTTACACATTTATAAACATCGTAATATGTCCTTTTTTTACATTACGTTATAAACATTGTAATATATGTTCCCTTTTTTACATTATAATAACAAATAAAACATTTGTATGTATAATCTTATTTCATCTATTTTCTCTGTTTTAACTTCCATGGTAATATGAACAGTACTTTTTAATTTAATTTTAATTATGTAAACAGTTTTTATTAATAATTCACTTTATAAATCGACAAAATTTGTTCTCAAAATACCTAATTTTCATTAAAATATTTTTAGAAAAATATATTAAAAATATATTTAAAAAATTCAAATTACTATTAAATGAATAGAAAATATCCGAACTTCTGGCTATGTAAAGAAATATTTTACTTTCTATTTCTGCAACAATAATAATTTTTTATTAAATTACATAATTTTCACTAAAGAATCATGCAAGTTTCACTTCATTTCATGAAATAACAAAAAATGGCAGCTTTCTTCGAAAAAGTGACGTTTTTCAAAACGGTAACTCATTTATATTAATTAATTTTCAATTATTAAATAGTTTTTTCATTAAATTGAATAATACCGTTAGATTTGTAAGAAAATTTTACCCCAAAAAAGTGTGATTTTCAAAACGTTTCTGTTTTTATCCTCAGGAAAGATGTACAATTTAAGATGTCATATCCAAATTCGCACCATCGTTCCATTAATGGATGCTCGAAAGAAGTGTGTCATTTGAAGGTTAAATTTGTAAAATGTAATATTATAGAAAATATATTTGGTTTTATATTTAATTGTTACAAAAATTGAACATCATCTGAATGCTCCATTTAAATCATTGTTCATACTTGTTAACAAGGATATAATGGCTGAGTTCCGTAAAGCGCATATAATGATGTATCATTTTATCTTTGTTATTTACCGAATGTTAAACAAGGATGGTATGATACCATTATGCGCATCATGCACTTCACGGAACTCAGCCAACAATATAAGGGCATGGAAAAGTTTCGTTTAATTTATTAGCATTAAATAATCATTAATCAAAGAGATAAGTCATTAATATTTTCACCAAATTAATAATTTCGCCAAATAAATAACGGCAATTTAAACAATTGCAATAGTTCAGTCCAATTTTTAAGCCTTATTTAACATATACTGCACAAACAAATCTTAAATATTATCGTTAATTTGTTAGATATCGCCATATAAACAAATGGATTGTGCGTGAGATTTAGAACTTCCGTTCAATGTATTAGTGTTAAATAACAATTACCAAAGAGATAGATTATCGTTATCTTCACCTAATTGTTAAATAATGGGTTTTAAACAATTGCAATAATTCAGTCTGATTTCTAAGCCTTAATTAACATATACTGCACAAACAGATCGTAAATATCATCGTTAAATTGTTAGATATCGCGGTATAAACAAATAGATAGTGCGAGAGATTTAGAACTTATTCAATTTATTATTGGTAAATAACAATTAGAGATAGATCATTGATATCTTCACCCGATTATTAAATAATAGATTTTAATCAAATGCAATAGTTCAGTCCAATTTCTAAGTCTTAATTTACAATTACTGCAAAATTCAATCTCAGATATCATCATTAATACCAAATTATTAAATAATAGTCTTTAAACAAATGTAATAGTTCGGTTCGATTTTCAAATCTTAATTAACAATTATCAAATATTATTGTTAATTTATAGTAAAAAATATCGCGTTAAACATTTTATTCCTATTCACAAACAACAAGGATGAAATAATGATCCACAAAAGGACACATTATGTTTTCGAATTGCGCGCGTAATCTCACATAAGAACATATCTTGACGGACAGTCGCTCGCTTTGAGTGTTGTAAATGGGACTTGGCGAACAATCTGGGGTGCGTTCCGTTTCGTGCATAGCACGCATCGTTCGCATAACCAATGCCGCGCACATTGGTTGCGTTCCGTTTCATTATGCGCATAATGTACATTTTGAAACGGAACGATATTAAACGCATTAGAAGCGCAAAATCAATTCAAAATGGATTCCACAACAATAAATGCTGTCAGTATTGCGACAATAATTTTAATTGACGATGCTAATAAAAGTGACAATAGTGAATCATCCAGTTGCAGTAACTGATAATTATAGTGATGAAGAATATAAGGATAGTTCAAGCACTGACCACGAATTGAAAATTTTATATTCGGTTTTAATGGTGGGTGAAACACATGGAAAAACAGTTTTTACAGAAAAAATAACAGATTTTGCTGAGAGAGTTATCCCTGGATACACGAGGCGCGTATTTAAAGAACATTTTCGGTGAGTGTGAATATTTCTATATTTATATATCATATTTCCATATTTTTTATTCAGTTTGACTGTTGTTTTAAAATATTTGTAAATAAATTACTTAAAGCAATGTCAGAAAATTACAACAGTTTTTTATTTTATAGAATGTTTCCAGAAACATTCGAAGTAGTGTTACAACTAATTGGGCCAGGATTAAGGGCCATAAATGCATTGCCTGGAAGAAAACCAATTTCTGCCGAAAAGCAACTCCTTATTGCAATTTGGTTTATGTCTACTCCTGACTCTTATAGGTATGATCTCATACAAATTAAAATATGAATATAAATTTAAAGAAAGAAAATATATTATTAATTAATTTTAAGTTAAATTAAGACCGGCAATGTTCAAACATACATAACAGAAAATTAAAAAATAATGAATTATTTTATAGTAACATTTTATTTATATTGTTACGCCCGGGGCGGTGAATGTCGCGTTCACGCACTCGCTCGCGTAATGTACGCGCTTCCGCACTCGCGTTCGCGCACGCGCACCGGAAGGCCGCGGGAGGAATAAAAGGAACACCAAATTAAGAAAACAAGGAACACGCTTTATTGTAATGACTGTGAACAAATAACGCAGCGAATAGATAGAGCAGAGTAAAGCACGTCCGAACGAGTCAACGGCTCGTCTCCAAATCTGATATGTCGTCTGTTTGACAGGCGACAGCGCGTCGTCAAGGAAACATTCGACAGCTGGACCGGCTCGCTGGTACATCGAACGACGCGGGCGTAGACACGGGCGTAACACTGCCCTCCTTCTTCTAGATTGTCGTCCCGACAATCAGGGCTCATATAAAGGACCTCAGGGTTTTCTGATGGTTTCCTGCTCTACCCTGTGCTGCTGCAGCAGGTTACCGAGCACCATCTCTTCTTAATGATAAATTCAATCCTTTAATCCTTTTTCGAACTTCCGAGCAGGACCCTATTTGTCTCTTTCCCGAAA